AGTAACCTCCCCTCCTCTCCAGATATAGTGGTAGTTATCTATAACCTATTATAGTAAATGGGGATATGGAAGATTGGGAACTTACACTCTTAGGAACTTCTGGTTGCTAAAAGCTGAGAAGCAAAGAGCTGAGTTCAGGTCCGGTGTGAGTTCTCTTAAATGGAATTTTCTCCCTTTCACCACATCTGAATTTCACCCACACTACTGAGACATTACAATGATGACAAGTTTGCCTTAAAATATATTGAAAGCGCTTAGTGGATGATTTTTCATTTCTGATACAGAAATAATTACTCCATTTTCTAAACAACAGCTAATGTATCCCCCACAAACATATTCTGTAAGCTTAGGAATAAAGGAATTTTACTTTCAGTGTTCAAAATTTCATGTTTTGTGTTCCAATTATAGACATGCACAAAAATTATCTGCCCAATACACAGAACAGCTCTTAAAGAAGTCAGAGACACTAGGTGTAAGTCTCAAGAAAACCAGGTAGACACACAGTTTTTCCTTTTTGAGTGTGAAGAGGATAATTCTCTTTTTTTATGCAATAGATGTTAGATGTGAGAATGAAAGGCCACTACATACTTTAATAGCTGTGCAGTCACAGGTTCATTGCACAGGAATTAATTCAGAAGGTACTTTAATACCATGCATTTAAAACTAGCCAACATGGACACACGGGGACACATACACCCCCACACTGGACTGGCAGGAATATATCTCTCTTAATAGCTGGGCTTATTTCTAACACAGATTCTTAATCAACCAAATGGCCAGTTCAGGATTTTCAGTAATTCTGGCAAAATTGAATATTGTCATCCAAAGGACAAAGGGATGGAGGTGAGATAAGAGGAAGAGGAGAACACTTGTGGGTGTAAAAGGGAGACAGGTCAGGATGAGGATGAAGAAAAGCAAAGCCCTGGAAAGCATATTTTACTGCTTATGGTGGTATAGATTTATAAAGAGTGGAAGCAAAGTATTTCCTTCGGGAAGGCATAACCTCCCCTTTAGTAGGCATAAGCTGTTTCTAGCACCTACCTCCTTCCTCCCTCAGCAGTGATCACTGGCGCCTTCTAGGACTCGGATGTAAGCAAAGTAAGTAGCAAGGTCCTGCCAATACTGCTGCCCCATATGGTCTTCTCTTCTATGAGTTTCATGTACTCACTTGAGTCAGGGCCATAGTGACCACTTTTATCAAGTCTATGAACAAGTAACCTAAAATAATGTCTTTGCATGAACATGTCATTAACTTAGCATGCTCTGCAACACGTTGGGTTTTTTCTGTATAAAAGGACCAAACTCTAAACTGCACCATATTGTCATAAAAATGGGATCTAACCAACAACATAAATGTTAAACACTGCTTTATTCATACAGAATGTTCTCCATTTGCTGAAGTATTGGGAAAAAAAAGAAAATAGATTATGTGTGTAATGAGGAAGACACTAGTTCCCTGTGCAGGGATACTGAGGTAGTCCTGCATCGAGTCAGTGGGCATACACTACAGGTGGACTTCAAGGCTAGGAGGCTTGCAAGAACACCCATGTCTCCTGCACTGCACTCCCTGGCACTTGACTGCCTGCTAACAAGCCCCTCCCTAATTCAGAGCCCTGGCAACTGAAGGTCAGAGACACTAAAGCAAATACTAACTCTGTCTCATTCCTGGCCAAGTAAGACACAGGGTCATTCCCACAGGAGCAACCCTCATGCTTCCACACCATCTTCTTCAGTTTTCTCAGCTAGCGAGAGGAAGGGAGAACTCCATGAATTCAGTGCTGCTAATAAGCGCGCTCAAATTTGGCAAGCAATTGCTACACACAAGCAATTCTACATACATATGCTTCGATCTGACATTGCACAGGAGCTAGCAAACCCTGAAGGACCCTTGATAACTTGTTAAACAACTGCTCCAGCAGGCCTCAGTTACAGAACGAAAGCACTTTGAGACACACAGCCTGCTCTGGATGGAGCTGATTTTGGCCAGCTGCAGGTCTGCAAGACATGAAAGCTGTATTCTGTTTTTACCCCTATAAGCAGTCAGACTGCTTAGACTCTAAATCAACGACCTACAGCAGTCTTCCTACACTTACTCTGGTCTTACTGAATTGTGTAAGGTGAAAATCTTCGAGGCAAGGAAGCATTTTTTTCCACCATTCTGTGGAATTTTGACTGATGTTAAAATATCAGAAAAAGAAATGAAAGCATTCAAACTCAGAAGCCTGCATCTTTTCTTACTTATATTGGTTTTACACCTGCTCTAAGTCTACTGCATTCATTAAGGGCACCTCTGATTTACAGTGAAAGTAAAATCAGGCCCTCTGCAGGCATCATCTTAAATTGGTGCACACTCTATTAAAACAAACACTTGCTATAGTCACAATTTCAAGAGTGCATTTTGTGTGATGGTGAAATCTTAGCGTAGCACTTACTTTGTGTAGATAATATTAGTACATCAAAGTGCTGAAAAGAAGGGTACATTAGTTCATTTTGCAGGAACTATTTTGATTATGCTGACACACAATGAGAGACAATAAATGATTAAGTTCAGCAACATTCTGGCAGTTTCCTTATCATTAGATGTTTAACGAGGTGAAACAATCTTTCTTGTTTTATCTGGTACATCTAAAAACTGTCCCTTTAATTAAAAAAAAGAAGTACAATCTGTATAACCGTAACTCACTGCATTCAATTCACACAGCTGTATACCTTAGGCGTAATGCAGGGTTACATTGCTATGTGTACGTATATATTCTTTGATATTTAGCTTCCATGAACTCTGTCTACTTTAGTGGCAGCTTAATGGAGCCTACAAGATGATCACCTGTGTAAAATGACCCAATGGCCATATATGCCAGAGCAAAATAACATTTTATAAAAGACCAGGATTGCCTGTCTATGTGCTGAGTCGCTGACTGTCTCACAGCCAAAAGTGTGTGCAAGCAGATTATTTTCTATGAACTGATTGCAAACCTGATTACCTCTCTGCATTTCATTCGCCTTGTGGTTTTCAGAAAGCCTTTTTATGGAACAGGTATTTCCCTCAAGCTGACAGGATACGCTTCCTTGGGACAAAAGAGACAACATGAAAAAATATATACCGTACGTCAAGATTTGCTGCAATGAGATATCCAGATGAAAATCTGTATTTACAAATACTGGATTCCAGAGTTGTTTATGCTGTACTTTCTCCATATCATTCTTTGGTCAAGAATCTAAGGAATACAATATGATCACAAATCTGTAAGTTATTTTCACAGATAGATCTTCATAATACAGGGGAATAGGACTGTAAAAGATTCATGAACTCAAATGAAAGGTTTTCTAATTAGCATTTCTGTTTCTAAGAGCTTTATATCAATTAATTACAGTGAAAAAGCCCAAATCAAGGTGTACAGAAACAGCCAATGACATTATTGGTTTATAGTCACAAAGAGTAACTTCCAATTTTAGGGGAAACACTTCTTCATTTCACTTAGCCAAACAGTAGTAGTTCATCATGTCTGAAATACCTTTTTCACGAGTGACTGAATCACAAAATCTGTCTCAATCCAAGGCATCTTTTAGACTACAGGAGTTCCACCTTCCACCTTCCAGCACACAAACTGATGTGACTAGTACCACATCCAGCAACCTTTGCCTCCCAGTGCCCCATTCTCTCTTCTACATCCTCTCCACCAAAGCAGTAAGAAGAAAAGAATACACAATGAGGCTCAAACATGGCTCTTCATCAGTAGCAGGACACCTTAATCACTGTTCTATCACATCACTGGGAGTGACTTAACATAGATTAAAACTGTTTTTCAATTCAGACTACAGGCACCTTAGAAATAGATGCATAGTTGGGTATCACTAATTTACAAGCAATATGCTGTCATAAACAGCTGAATAAGCAGAGGTGTTTATTTTTTCCCTCAGCCTTATTTACACATTTGAAAGACCTCTCAGGTAAAGGCTAGAGAATGTGCAGATAATGCCAAAACTTTCATCTGCACTGCATAGCACATTCTATTTGCTTTTAGCAAGTCCCAAGACTGAGTACAGTAATTGCAGAAATGAAAAATCACCACCTAAATTCAGCCCTAAGGCTGGAGCCATTCTTGAGTAGTAGAAAAGGAGTGATATGAATAGATCTGCGAGATGAAACGTAGACTAAAAAAAGATGAGTATGTTGTAATAACTGATCAAAACCTGAAGAACATCAATAGCTAAGATCTCCTTCTTACAGGTACTCAGCTACTACACTCGTACTGCTGCCTGATACCAAGAGTAACGGACTAGTATAAAGCACAGAGGCCTGCATCCTTTGGTGGTTGTTTCAGAGACTGGTGACATAGCCAGACTAGGTCTGGACAAAGTACTTTGGTAAGGTAGTTGTTAAGCAATAGTGCAGAGACAAGACATTAGGCAAGATACCAGTTCACTGAAATAACTGCCCTACAGGAAAGAGACGCTTTTTCTATACCAGCAAAGGCTCTTCACCTTTCTGGTAAGTCTGTCTCACTGACAGCTGCTGTTGTTAAAGGGCTACACACTAGTGGCACTCTGGTAGGTAATGTATTTTAAAATCCATACAAAATTCGAAAAGTGTAATGTAAAAAGTTTATGAATTCAATATAAAGGCACTTTTTGGCAGTCAAGTGTATATATATTTGCTGCCTGAGGACAGGAAGTTAGTTAAAAGTACAACTGAGAGAGCTTAACAGTGACTCTAATTTATTATGAATGGACTGAAGTAATTAAAAATATACATGAGAGTGCTAAGAAACTGATGATAAATGGGTCTTCAAGGGTCTGGTTCTTTGTGAAGTAATTTTTCTCATGTGCATGTTTCACTGATCTAGTTGTCTAATTTAAGGCAGTCCAAAATACCAAGTAAGAGTAAGCACTCAGAAAATAATGTAGCAGCTGTATCAATACTGGTGAAATATCTCCAGTAATTGCCTGTGATTGATTTAGTTTTCATTAATTTTGCAATACTAAGTTCTTTAAATAATTAACTGATGAGCAGGTGCAAAGAAGAGTATCATTAAAAATTAATGCTTTAAAAAGATCACGGTTTTACAACAAACATTTTAAACAAGATAACTGCACAATAACTGTAACTGAAAGGGTGTGAGATTTAACCATAGTCTTGATGTACTCAGCAATACAAAAAACCACCTCTAAGAAGCTAAAACCTGCTGTAGTCAAAACAGTAACACTGTTCAAGCTCCATCCGAAGACTGACATTGCCGCTTTGAGTAGAAGAGTATTTGTTATCTACGTCCTAGAAACCCTGACTGTCTGTTTGCCACACGTGTACAGGATGCACAACAGGCTGTTTTGTAATAGGTGTAGACACAGAGCCGGGCCTGAACCACCACATTGCAATTGTAGTATTTATCTTTGCAGTTCTCATCTGTGGAGAAAAAAAGACGAGAGAAGAAACTGAAGAAAACAGTATTGGAGTAACAAATAACCTTTGTTATATATATATAACTCTTTTTACCATGTAAAATCCCTTGGACCTGTATTTAAACGTTCATTGTCAGGTTAAAATAGGCTACCCATGCAAATAAGTTAGATTATTCAAGATTTTCTACATTTAATATAAAGATACATAAAACCATGGAAGAAATGTACCTATCCCTATTTATACTGTTGTGGGGTTTAGGGGGGGGGGGGTGTTGCTTTTTTTTTTTTAAACACAAAATTTGTCTTCAATAAGGATAATAGGAAAGTCTCTAGTATTCTTCACCTAGGTACCTGTCCACTTCAGTTTTAGATTCACAGGTACTAATCTCTTGTGGCAGTATACAGATGGCACCAGAATCTGCAAATGTTATTTTCAAGTACTGACGAAATCTAAATACTGGAAAATAGTAAACCACCTCCCTCCTTATAAATATTACAAATAGTTTAAAATAACTAGATTAAAAAAGACAAAAGTTGGTGTTCTTAACATTCGCCATTTTTCTAAGCTGTTAGGTTGTGCTCTGTCCACATTTTGAAGTTTTCCTTTACAACCAACAGGGTTAGAAATACTTTTTAAGTGACAACTAAGATTTTCATATGATCATGTATGTGATCACAGAAACTGAGGTGTTAAGAAAAAGACTGAATGACAAAACACTAATAACTTGTAAAAATGAGCAATTCTGTACAAATGTTTTAAATAAAGAAATAACAACACAGATACAATAAACAGTTTTTAATAATATTGGTATACCAGGTTTTTTACATAGTTAAATTATGTTGAAGAGTAATTCTCAACTGAAAACTGTTGTAGAACGTAAGAGTTAGAACTGTTTCTAAATACTTGCATCTTCCTTTCCCTAATCATTATTATTAAAATCAAATCTGTATGAGATGAATGACTAATTCCAATGCCAAATTATGTGTATGTGTGTATTTATTATATATACAAGAAAATTGCATAATTGCCCTTAATGTCTTAGTTTAATGTTATTGGTTCTATAAGAACCTGTTACCAAATACAGTATATCATATGTGATCCTTTTTTTGTTTTAAAGACTCTGCCAAGAGAAACCTTTGAGAATGCAAGGAGGCTGCATAAAAACACTCTATATGTACCATTTTCACAGAAGCAGATTTCTCACATTCTCAGCAACTTTAAAAGTAAGCCAGTTTCTTACATGTTACAAGGAAAATGTTTTTAATCAGAAATGAAAACCTACTTTTACACCATAGAAAAGAGCTGTATTTTGTGTGAAAATAAACCCCTGAACTTGATAAAGAAAATACACTCTAAACCCTCTGCAAGATTATTAAATATTTTCTCCACTAGATGGAGTTTCATAGTTAAAACAGAAGCTTCCTCTTCCTTACCTATTTCAGGGGTACAGTCTTGGGTGTTACAGGGTTCTTTTTCTCCAGGTTTAAGCTGTGGATCACACTGAGTACTGGCTGTCATGTCATCAGATAGACATCGTACCTCTCGAACCCGAAATCCTCCTTCACAGGATTTGGAACACTGAAACACAAAAGCTGAAGTTCATGAAGACCATATGAGATGTGCAAATACAGAAAGAAAAAAATGGGAACCTTGAAGCCAGACCCAGGTATCACTGTAGCCTTTTATCAACTTCACCACTTCTGTTGTTTTGTGTTTTCTAACTATAAAGTCCTTAACATACAGGTGTAATTTCATTAAAGGTTCAAAAATATTTTTGACCACAGGGGCAACAACTGGACAAGTAAACGTGGTAGACACTGTGCAACTGAAAGCATGCCAGAATACTTCCCTTTCTAAATTTATTAGTTATCTTCTTGCTTCTCTAATTAGTCTTGTTCTTCTCTGCTTATTTATACATATCTCCCAAATCCACTCTTT